CAGCAGTGTGAAGAGACAACCCAAAAATCTGGGAAAAAATCTTCACCTGCTATTCCTCAGACAAAGGTCTACTATCTCGAATCTATGAAGAACTTTAAAAAATCAGACCTCCCAAATTTAAAGACCCAATGCAGATAGAAAAAGTAAAAGCTACTGGTTCTCAGAAGATCAACCAAATTTACCTTCTTTTAGCTAGATTGACTAAGAAAAAAGATGAGATGTCTCAAATCAGAAATGAACAAGGGGACATTCTACCAATTTTACAAAAAAGGGATTATAAGAATACAATAAATACAAGTTGGATAACCTAGATTAACTGGACAGATTCCTAGAAACACACAACCTACCAAGACTGACTCATAAAGAAACAGAAAATCTGAGTAGAGCGTAACTATAAGGAAATTAAATTAGTAACCATAATCCTCCCAACAAAGCCCAAGACAAGATGGCTTCACGGGTAAATGTCACCAAACATTTAAAGAAGAATACCAATCCTTCTCAAACTCTTCTAAATATTGAAGAGGGAAACATTTCCAAAGTCATTCTCTGAGGTTGAGATTTACCCTTAAACCAAAACCATGCTATGAACAGAAAACTACAAACCAATATCCCTTATAAATTTAGGTGCAAAAATCCTTAACTAGGAAACTGAATCAACAGACTATTTAAATACTAACACAATGAATTCAACAGAATATTAAAATCGTTATACATCATGACCACAGGAAATTCGTTCCTGAAATACAAGGGAAGTTCAAAATACAAAAATCAACGCAATACACACATTAATAGAAAGAAGGGGAAAAATGTAATATTGATGTAGACAAAGCATTTGGTAAACTTCCACATCCTTTCATGATGAAACAACAAATTAGGAACAGGTGGAAACTGCCTCAACATACAAACTCCTACAGCCACCAGGGCACGAAAGGGTGAAAGAAGGAAAGTGTTTTCTCTAAGATGAGGAACAAGGTAAGCTCACTTTCACTTCTTTTCTTCAGTGTGACACTGTAAGTTGTGGCCAGGCCACTCAGGCAAGAAAATAAGCAAAGTACATCCAAATGGGAAAAAAAGAAGTACAGCTATCTCTGTTCGCAGTAGACCCTATAAACATTCCACACATGGGACTTCTACAGCTAAAAAACAAATTCAGCAAAAATTGCAGAATACAAAATCAATACGCAAAAGTCATTTGCATGTCTTTCCCTTAACAATGAACAATCCTAAGGGAAATTTAAAAAAATTCTTCCACTTACAATAGCATCAAAAGAATAAGATACTTAGGAATCAGTTTAACTAAGGAGATTAAAGAATTGTATACCAAAAACTACAAAATGTTGCTGAAAAAAATATTAAAGACAGGGCCGGGGATTTAGCTCAGTGGTTTCGCCACCTGCCTAGCAAGCGCAAGGACCCGAGTTCGATCCCTGGTACTAAAAAAAAAAAAAAAAAATTTAAGAGAGACAAATGAAAAGATATGTTTGTGAATTGGAAGACAGTGTTGTTAACATGCTAAGACTGTCCAAACAATCTACAGATGTAGGGTAATCCTTATCAAAATCTCAATGACAAATTTGTGAGGGGTTGTGTTTATGTTTGTTTTTATTTGGCAGAAGTAGAAAAATTCATCCTAAAATTTATGTGGAATATCAAGGCTGCTTAATTAGCCAAAACAGTCTTCAAAACAAAGTTGGAGATCCCACACTTCATCTTTTCAAAGCTCTCGGGCCAGGGATTTAGTTCAGCGGTTCCGGCTCCTGCCTCGCAAGCACAAGGTCCCAAGTTTGATCCCCGGTACCCGCCCCCCCCCAAAAAACCCCTCTCTGTAAAGCTATGATAATCAAAACAAATAGCACTGGCTTGAAGAGAGACATATAGACCAGTGAAATAGGATAGAGTTCATCAGTAAACCCACATACATGGTTAAATGATGTTCAGCAGGGATACCAAGACCATTCCATGGAGAAGTGACAGTCTGTTCAAGAAATAGTGTTGGGGAAACTGGGTAGCTACATATAAAAATTAATTTCAACCCTTGCCTCATGTAAAAAAAAACTAAAAGTGAATGAAAGACCTAAATGTAACAGCTAAAATCAAACTTCTTTGACAAAAACGTCGGGAATGGGAGAAAAATGTTTATAAATGATATATCTGGTAAGGGATTCATATAGAGACTATATGAAGAACTCTTAACAGCCACAAAAATCTGACTACAAAATGAGGAAAGAACTTTAGTAGATATTTCTCTAAAGCATACATGCACAGGAACAGTAACCACATGAAAATATGCTCAGTGTCACTGTCATTAGGAAATGCAAATCAAAACCATGAGATATTATTTCACACCTACTAGGTTGGCTGGTGATTTAAAAAGTGTTGCTGAGGGTATGGAGTAATTGGTACCCTTGTGAATTTTGGGTAAGAATTCAACATGGCAGAGCCACTGTGGAGCACAGTAAGAAAATTCCTTAAAAAGTTAAATGGCATGAGCGTAAGACTCAGCAATTGCATTTCTAAGTGTCTACCCCACAAGAAAGTGAATGCTAAAATAAATAAATAAATAAATAAATAAATAAATAAATAAATAAATAAAATTAAAAAAAATTTTAAGTGAATGCTGACATCACATCTCTATCATTGCTGTCATTTATTTCACTTATCTAAAAGTTTATGATGACTGAATAATTATTGTGTTATTACTTTGGCAAACATCAATTTTTAGATCTATCAAGACTTAATAAAATTTTATTATTTTGTCTGTTCTTAACTCTTCTTTAGTGGCCTTTCTTTATGTAGATCCAAGTTTCTGACCTATACAATTTTCCTTCTCTCTGAAGAGCTTCTTTAAACATCTCTTGCAAGGTAGGACTTCTTGCAACCAATTCTCTCAGTTTCTGTTTATATAAACATAAAAATCTTTTGCTCGATAGAGTATTCTGGGTTAGTGCTTTTTTTCCTTCAACATTTAAATATTTGACTCCACTCTCTTCTTGCTTGTGTGATTTCTAAAGAGAAGTCCAATGTAATTTTACCCTTTCCTTTGTATATAAGATGATTTTTCCTCTGGCTTTTCTTAAGAGTTTTTCTTTGTTTCTGATTTCCTGCAGTTTGGATACAGTATGCCTAGGTATTGAGTTTTTTAGCGGGGAGAATACCATGTATGTTTCTTTTTCTTTGTCTTCTCCTTCTGATGTTCCCACCATGTAAATGTTACACCTTATGTTATTGTCTCTGCAGCCCTTGACTATTGTATTTTTTTCTCAGACTTGTTTTTTCTTTCCTTTTTTCAAATTGGGCCATTTCTATTGACATATTCTTAAGATCAATGATTCTTTGCTCAGCCACATCTAGTCTACTAATCAAGAGCCTGTGATTCGATCCCCAGACCCCAAGCAACATACACACACACACGCGCACACACACATGCACACACACACACGCGCGCGCACTCTTCATTCTACATTTCTGTTACATTGCCTTTGATTTCTAACATTTTTTTGGAGTCTCCTTAGAAATCCCATTTTACTGCCTTCATTGCTTATCTGTTATTGCATGTTGTCTACCCCCTTAGCATATTATTCATGGTAATTTTAATTTCCTGGCGTGACAATTCCAACATCCCTGTAATATCTGAGTTTTATTCTCATGCTGCTCTGTCTCTTCAAAATGTATTCTTTGCATTTTAGCATGTCTTTACTTTTTTGTTGAAAACCAGATATGTTCTACTGCACAAAAGGACCTGAGACTGGCTCCTGTTATGTTGTCTTTTTCATGGGTTTCTGCTCCAGGAAGTTGTGACTCCCTGCAGCCACCTTTCTGTCTTTCCAACCTTAGGACAGTGATATGCCGTGTAACCTCAATGCTCTGATGGAGTGAAAAAGAACTGCTGATTTTCAGTTCATTCAGCTCATTTTCTTGTTAGGGTAGGATTAATGACTTCCAACTCCTTACGTGCCAGGCTGGGAATCAGAACTCCCCACTTTTTTCGTTTCTGAGAATTGATCCTATGGCTTTGTGCATGGGACACAAGTGCTCTACCATTAAGCTACGCTCTCAGCACCACCCCTTTGCTTTTTTAAATTTATTTTTTATTAGTATGGATCTGCAGTAGATGGTGATGATTACATTTATTGTCTATCTGTATCTTTGTGTCTAAAGATAATTTCTTACAGGAGCAGTATAGTTGGGTCTTACATTTATAAAAACTTCAATCTAGAAATCTCTGCCTTTTAAGTGGAGTATATAAGCCATAAGTATTTAATATAATCACTAGCATAATTGCATTTAATCTAACATCTTACTATTTGTTCTCTATTGTCCCATCTGTTTTTTTGTTTTGTTTTGTTTTATTGAAGCACTTGGGATTGGACTCAGGGCCTTCACACTGACCTGTATCCCCAGACCTCTCCTTTGATTAAAAATTTTCAGACAGGGTCCTGTTAAGTTGCTAAGTTGGCCAGCCTGGCCTCAAACTTGTGATCCTCCTGCCTCAGCCTCCCAAAGTGCTGGGATTATAAGCATGTGCCAGTGTGCCCACTTCTCACCCATTGTTTCTTGTTCTTCCATTCCTGTCTTGGATAAATTGGAATAATTAAATTTTATGATTCAACTTTGTCTGCATTAATTGCATTGTTAGCTCTTTGTAAGTGGTTGCTCTGGAGTTTACAAAACACATCTTCTATCATGGTCTACCATCAAGTGGTTACGCATTTCACAGATATGCATCATTCAAAAGCCTTACAACAGTTTATTTTCATTTCCCTCCTCATAGTCTTTGTGCTCTTGTCATCATCACATTTTACTTCTGTATTGCTATAAATTCCACAATACATTATTATTTTTGCTTGAGACAATCATTTAACTTTCAATGAGAGTTTCAATCATGGGGAAAGCTCTCCTGTTTACCCATACATTGCCTTTGCTTTACGTGGACCCACATTTCCATCTGGCCCCACAATCCTTTGCCTATGGGACTTCCTTCAACATTTAGTATGCTGCTGATCTGTTGGAGAATCCACTTTCCTTTGTGGAAGTCTTACCTTCCTCTTAGAAGATAATGTTGGTGGGTGCTATGGTTTGCTTATGGTGCCTTCCCCAGTGTTGCATGAGTGGGAAGCCTGACCCCCGGTGTGAAGGCAGCGAGAGGTGGACCCTTTAAGAGGTGGGGCCTGGTGGGAGATATTTGGGTGTTGGGGGCACCACGCCTGCAGGTGACTAGTGCATGTCTTCTGGGAGTGGGTCAGCTCTCGCAGGACTGAATTAGTTACTCCAAGAGCTGGTTGGTTAAACCCAGGCCACTCCACGTGTTTGGCTTCCTCTGCCACTGTCACTCACCACTCTCGCGTGGGCCTCTGCTGTGACGCCTCTGCCATCTGCCCTGTTACGACGTAGCAGGAGGCCCCCCAGAGGGTGCCGCATGGGTGTGGACTCTGAACCTTCGAATCCCGAGACAAAATAAACCTCTTCCTTATGAAGCACCCAGTCGGCCTGAGTTCGGAATCCTAGCTTGACTATTTTTAAATGTTTCTTTCAGTACTTTTGAAAATGTTGTTCCATTGTCTTCTGGATTACATAGTTGCAGGCACTAAGTCTAGTATAATTCTTATTTTTGTTCCTTTGTGTGTAGTGTTTCCTTTTTCCTCTAGTTGTTTTTAAGGGTTTCAGAAATCTGTTTATGATGTGCCTTGTGTGTTTTCCTTGTGCTTCTTCTACTTAAAGATTGCTGGGCTTTTTTTGAATCTGTGGGCTTATTGTTTCCATTAAATTTGGAAAATCTCCAGCCATTATTTTTCAAATATATTTTCTAAATCTACTTTAATTACTTTTAAGTTAGGCCGCTTGGTATTGACTCACAGGTTTTTGCTTCTTATTTGTTAATCTTTCTCTCCGCTTTTCATTTAGGAGAGCTTATATGTCATGTCTCATGTTTACTAACGTTTTCTTCAGCAATACGTCATCTACTGGTAATTCTGGGAAATTGGGTTTTTGTTTCTTTTCTTTTCTGGTACCAGGAATCGAACTCATGACCCTGTGCTTGGCAGTCAGGCGTGGCGCCACTGAGCTACAGCCCCAGCCCTTACTGCTAATTCTGTATCATGTATTTTGTATTTCAAATATTATGTATTCCATCTTACAAGTTTTTGAGTCCTTCTTGGATCTTTCATTGCTCCCTTCATCGTATTATTGTTTTCCTCCCACTTGAACACATGAAGTAGATTTAAACAGCTCTTTCAGTGTTACCGCTAGTCACATCATCCCTGTTGTTTGTTGATTGATTTTCCCCATTGTGGGTCGTGTGGTTCTGTGTTTGGCTTTGTTTTTTCCATCCAGCAGTCATCTTCTGAGGACGCTGCCTGATGTCCACCTGGCAGGAGGCCTTTCCACCCCGTCTGAGGGAACAAAAACTCCTGTCAGGAGACCATCCTGTCCTGCCTGCTTTTCCCAGTGGTTTTCCTCCATGGCCTTATTCTTTTCCTCCCACTTGTGTGCAGAGCAGGGCTCAGCCAGGGGCTCCAGGAGACCTGCTCCAGCTCTCTGACACCTGCCCTCTGTGCACTCTCTGCTCCTCGCATCGTCCTCCCTGAACTAGGAACTCGGCCTCTCAGCCCAGGAAGACCCTGGCCTCTGGGTGGGCCCAGCCCTGGACCCCTCCTGTGCAGGGTGCTTGTGGGGCTCCCCAGGGGCGTTAGTCTTCTGGATTGCTCCCCTACTGCCTGGAGTGCACTGTCTGAAAACCTATTCGACAGATCTTGTCCAGGATTGTAGTTCTTTAAGGTAGGAGGGTAAATATGATTATGGGCAGGAGAGAAGTCTTTATAATTTAAGGGTTCCTTTCTTACACGGGGTATTGTTTGTTTGGACCCAATCTCGTTTCATTCAGGCCCTCAGTCCTGTGGAGAATTAAACAATGAGCTATGTCCAGGACGGGGCCTCGGCCTGAGGCGCCTTCCCAGCTCTGCCTGTCACTCACTAGCTGCATTTGGTTATCATCTGCAAGTGAGAGCAATGCGAGTCCCTTGCCAGGGTAGAGGAAGATGAACGAAAGGACATATGAAGAGCACCTTAGCATCACCTTCGCACGGGTGGACAAGACAGCCATGAGTGTCCCTCCACACTGTGTTGTGTCTCCATCTCGTATCAGTGTACAGGCGACGCCTCCTGTCACAAGCCAGCAGAGAAAGCACACAGGAAGCACTTTCTCCACCTGCACCTAGATTCTTTTAGAACGCCCCCAACAGCCTCCTTAAGAAAGACCTATACATTTGAGTTCCACACGTAGGTCCATAACTCAGGAAGCTGCTGTTCACATACAGTGTCCAGATCCAGCTCTGTCCTTTAAATTGCTTGCTGGCCCGGAACACATCGTAGGCCTCACATTCTCCATCTTAAAATGAAATGACTCTTATCCTGTTTCCATGAGGGGTTTTGGAAAAACTTTGAGAAAAATTGCAAAGAAGTAAAATTGCTTTGAGAGGTAGGAAGGCGTGAAGAAGAGGGCGATACACTGCTTTGCTGTGACGTTGACCTTGGGCTGGGAGAGATTACTGTGAGATACTTAGCTGCCTCACGAGCTGCGCACCTCTGGTGTGCTCCCCTCCACTGTCCCACACTCACAAGAGGGGTTGTTTTGCTTTGTTTGGAGTGGGAGGGATCAAACCCAGGATCTTTGCACTGAGCCACAGCCATACCCCTTTTTTATTTTTTTGTTTTGAGCCAGGGTCTCACTATGTTGCCCCAACTGGGCTTACACTTGCATTCCTCCCACCTCAGGCTCCCAGAGTGCTGGAATTACAGGTGTGTGCACCAGGCCCAGCTACAAGGTGGTTTAAAAACATGGACGCAACTCTTTGACACTGTCTTTATTGAGGGTTGGCATTCGTGTTCCCTTCTAAATTTGCCAAACTGTTGAGCTTCCTTTGATCAAGTTGGTCAGAGGTGATGTTGTTTGCCTTCTGAGCCTGTCCTAAAAGGCTATGCAACTTTTGTGTTATTCTTGGAGCCACGAGTTGACATGTCCTCTAAAGCCACTGTAATAGAAGGAAGGCAAAGCCAGATGGACAGTGCTTGTCTTCTGGCCGCCCAAGTGACTTCTAGTTGTTCCTGTCTTCTCAGCTGAGACTTCAGACATCAGGAAGCAGGGACAAGCCCTCTTCCCTATGCACGCTCCAAGCTCCTGACCCACAGAGTCATTTATACCACCCGGTCTGGGTGGTTGCTTGTACCAGGTAGCAATAAAGAACTGGAGTGCTGGCGGAATTGTGGCGCGAATGGTTCAGAGATGAATTCAGGCAGATGTAAAGCCAGCTTTCTGAATATGAATCTGGGAGCTGACGCACAGTCTCTTCACACCGGCAAATGGGCCGAAATAAGAAGCCATTTATCCAGCCTGGGGTGCAGCTCAGCAGTCCAGTGCTTGCCTTGCAAGCGGGAGATCCAGGTTTGGTTCCCAGCATTCCCCACCCTGCCCTGCCCTGCCCACCCCTCACCCCTCCTCGATCTGCTCTGGGCAGCTTACTGCAGAGTTTGTGGGAATAAGGCTATCAAAAGCAGCCCTCTTACGACCCAACTAGCCAACAGGTGCTTCCCTCTTCCTTCTTCCTTTCCTTTTTTCTTTCCATCTTTTCCTCTTTGTTGAGTGCCCACTATGTGCAAAGCATTATTTTAGGTTCTGGAGTGGCAAAGATGGATGCATATTCATCACGCCCTGTGTTTTCTATATCCGGATTCTTTGATTGCTGGGGCTTTGCAGACCCTTGAGGGACTGTGTCTCCCAGAGTTAGCCAAGTCCTGCGGGGACCACAGAACTCACCCAGGAGCCTGTCTTTCGTGTGCAGACCCAGAGTCCTGAGCCAACTCAGCGGCCTCCTCTGAAGGTCTCTTACACTCCTGGTCGCCATCCCCTGCCCTATCTCCAGGCCCGGGTGCCAGAGGGCTCGGGCCAGGCCCTGCACCCCAGAGCCTGTTGGGATCTTCCCTCCAGGCAACCTAAACCTGCTCACCCTGCCTGACCATCCCTTCCTCTGTGGCAAAGGCTCCTGCCCACAGTTAGCCCTTCTCCCTCTGCCTCCTGCTGACCCCACACCCCACGTTCCCCCCAAGAAATGTTAACATACTCTTTCCCACTCGATCTGCTGGCCTTACTATCCCTCAGATTTTTAGTAGTAACTGCTTTTTAATGGACTGCTACTCAGTGGCTGCTTCAAGGAAACTTAGTTTAGTGACAGGGAGCCTCAGAGCAGCCGGGCTGCGTGTGTTTTATTTCCTGACCAGAGCACTGCTTGTGCGGAGCCTCCGGGTCTCCTGTGAGCTTCTGCAGGCCCGCTGTGCTATGCTATGGTCTTGGCATTTTGTTTAAGACACCCAACATAATAGCGGGTTGAAATCCACCCATTAAAGCAGTCTCTTAAGCTAAACAAACAAGTGTCCTCAGCCTCTCAGCTTAAGATTGCTTTAATGGGTGGATTTCAAACTAATACTATTGTCTGTTTTGTTTTGTTTTGTTTTTCTTAAATTCAATATGAGATTCCCAGGCTGTCTCACAGCCCCCTCCGCCTCTCACACCTGGCCAGGAGCCCCCGAGGGCGCAGGACCTAGGCAGATTCTCCAGGCTGGTGGCTGCACTGTTGTGGGTGGGTCCCACTCCTTCCCATCTTCCTCTAGGCATTTTGGAAGAAGCAGTAGAATAAAAAACAAAGAGAAAGAAATACATTCCTTTGAACCAATCATTAGTTTTTCTTGAAATTTGTTGATTTTCCATCGAAATTTGGGAGTTCATAGTTGTGACCTAAGAAAGATCACTTCTGTGCAGTGGTCTGGCACAAGTGCTCTCTTTCAGAGGCCGGACAGTGTTCGGAGTGGAGGTGAAGAGAATTAAGGGAGAAAAAGTCTGTTCTTGACTGGGAACTCTCCAGCCTGCGGCGCTGGGGAGAAGTGGACACTCTCACAAGGGCTGTAGTGTCTCGGCGCCACCCAGAGGGTGCACAGAGCGTGGACCCCTCGTCCTCCAGCTCTCGGGGCCACAGCGAGGCTCTGGGCCCGGCTAAGTATCTTGCTGAAGCTCGCACAGCTGGTGTAACAGGTGGGACTGGAGACAGGGATTCTGCACAGCCACCCAGGTGACAGGAAACTGCCAGGCGGGGTGGGGGCTGATCCCAGGAACCCCAAGAAAACTTGGTGGGGGGGGGTTGTACCTTAGTATTGTGTTGCTGTTAATCCGCTCTTACAAAAGGGCTTTGATGTTACACCCACAGCCACGAGCAAGCTAGTCTGAAAACACCCTCCACGTGAAAGAGCTACAGTCCCCAAGGCCTGGGAGAAACTCTGTCCAGGTGTCTGCATTCTGCTGCTTTGCTCAGCTAGGTTCAGCCTGCAGGTATATCTTAAATCCCTGCTGTTTGTTTTCACCCCTCAGAAAGTTATTCTAAATTAGGAACGTTGGTGGATTTCTCCTAAATGACTGAAGAGATTTCTGTGGGTTAGAAATGAGGAATTTTGAGTGCAGCAACTTGTAGGAAATGCACGAGGCTGGTTGCTGGACCAGCCACAAGTGGGGCCTCAGGGGATGGGGAGGGGCCTGGCCAGGTCCCTGGCTCTGGGCTGCACCCCAGCCCTGGCCAGGGTTTGCCCACTTGCCTTTCAGTTGTCCTGGACATGCCTGAGCTCCAAGCATGCGATGAGAAGGTCTGCTGGACTTGCAGAGGTCAGACTGGACAGGGTGGAGGCCAAGGGGACCACACAGCCTTGGGGAAGCCCCTCCTCTGGTGCACAAGGACCAGGTGGCACAGGCTTGCGGGCCAGAGATGCATCTTTGGGCTCTGCTTCCTACTCCATCTGGGAAAAGACTCAGGCCCAGACTCGGGCTGCCCACTTCACAGAGGGTCCTGTGGACACAGGGATGACCCAGCTGTCAGCAAGGTGCTTCTCAGACTGTCAGTCACGTGCACGCAGTTCCGGGTGAGCAAAGATGGTGACATGATTTGCACCTCCAGCCAGGTGCAAGGGATAAAGAGCAGCATGACATTTGCACCACACTGTTGTGGGCTGCTGCTGCCTCCAGAGCAGGCGAGCACCTTGGCCTCCGCCTTGGACATGTCCCTCTGCCTGGCCATGCTTGGTGACAGCGGAGGTCAGGGCCTCCAGTGGGTGGGGACCTCCGGCTCCCCCCTCCCCTCCTCCTCCTCTTCCCCCCCCAGAGATGCTGAAACTCTCTTTAAAACAGATAAGGAAAACTCCTTGACCTTTAAAATGTTTTCAGTTGTTTAACACTCCATTAAAATATAGGAGTTCTCAGAAATGCTGCATGAGCCCAGCAGCACTGTTCTCATTTCACAGGTAGAGTGAGGCTGGGGTCAGACGCCGCAAACTCCAATTTGGGTGTTTCTGAGTTCACACCCGGAGTTCCTGCAAGCACATGGGGAGGAGAGAAGTTAGAGAAAAGGGGAAGGAGAGAGAGAAGGGGAAAGAAGAGAGGGAGGGAAGTAAGAAGGGAAAAGGAAAGAAGGAAGAAGTGCTTTAGGAGGTGAGCAGAGCTCGAAGTTCTCTCTCGAATCACCTCTCCTCGCCTCTCCGTCTGCGCGCCCACAGGTCCAGGGCGGGTGCTCGAGCGGGGTCCGCTGCGCCCTGTGTCGCCACACGCGATCCGCCTCTTCCACCCCGCTCTCTGGTGCCCGCGGAGCCCAGCCAGGACTGGGCGATGCAGTCCTGGCGTTCGGTGGCCCAGGGGCCGCGCTTGACGATTCACTACCCGATCCTCGACCCCGGGTCCAGTCTCTACTGAACCCACAACCGGCCATGGTTCCCCAGCGGCGGCAAAGCAGGCGACGAAATGCCTCGGGCGCCTAGGGCCCGCGGGGCTCTGAACGACTGATGCTGGCAGTGTCCTGAGCGAGGTCCCCTGACGCCGCTCGCAGGAGGGTGTGCTCACTCGCACACAGTTGCCCACGTGAATACACGCGAGCGTGCAAGAGATGAAGGAATGAAGGAGCGGAGCGAGCGCGAGCGAGCCAGCCTGGTTCCGGGGCGAAGGCGGCTCCCGCGCTCTGGGCCGGGCCGCCCCAGCAGGTGGGTTCCTGACCGCCCAGGCCCAGGCGCGGTCCAAACGAAAGAAAGGAAAGAAATCAAACAACTGGAAACCTGGCTTACTGCCCGCATTCTCTCTGCCCCGCCCCAAGCCTGCCTGCCCCGTGCACCCAGCTCCCCGGCCAGCTCCCCAGCCAGACCCTGCGCGACCCTGGGCGCGATCCGAGGGGGTCGCCCACAGCCGGAAGAGCCGCTGTCCGCTGCAGGCCTTTCTGCAGAGCACCGTCCGGCCCTGGAGCTGCGGTCGCCGAAGTGCCAGAAAGGGTCGAGGTCTTCCGCGGCCTCTCAAGCTCCTGTGGGACCCTCTGTCCCTCCTGAGAGCTCCCCTCCCCTCCCGAGGCCGGCGCGGCCTGCGCTCCCCACCAGAAGCTCCCTGCCCGCGCTTGTCTGGAAGATTTTCTGGCCGACACTGGAAATGGCCTCGGCTTCCCCGGGCAGGGAAATCCGCCACCGGGCGGATACGCTGCAAACCGCCTCCCTCTGGCTGAGTGCCCCGCGCCAGGCAGCCTGCCTCTCCGCCTCGGCCCGGCCTTCTCTTCCCAACAGAGACCCGCGTTCCAGGCCTGCGCCGCTCGCCTCGGGCCTTTGGCTCTAGCCGGGCGCGCGGGCCTGGCGGCCGGAGGGAGGAAATCCCAGCAATCTGTTCGGGCCCAAAACGTGCTCCGATGAAAGTTGTCTGGGTTATTGAGAGGTCGCCCTTCTCCGTCCGCCCGCGCGGGGTTAGCTCTGGGGCCTCGCGTGTTTCGTGCGAGCGCTAGGCGACTCCGGGGCTTAGGACTTCAGCTGGGCGCGGGTGATGTCAGCCATCGAGCGAGTGTGAGGTTTCGCTGAATTTGTCTCACGGAATCCAAGCACAGCGCGAGGGGCCAATTGTTTTCTCGTCTCCACTTAAGGATTAGAAACGGTGGCCTAGGCGACACCTGACTCGCGCAGCTGCAGCCGCGAGGAGCTCGGTGCAGGCTCCGACCCAGGCAGGCCCGGGTCTTCCCACCACGGTGCCGCCCCTTGCGGGGTCACCTCTGCCGGGCCGCAGAGGATGGCGGCCCGCACACACGTGTGGCTCGAACTCCGGATCGAGTGCAGCCTGCGCAGAGCAGACAGACGCCGTGTGTCTGCGTGACCTTGGCTCACCCGTGGGCTCACTCGCTTACTCGGCAGTTTCTGTGCGCCCGCCGGGGTAAGAGAGCAGGCACGGCGCCGCCACCCTGGTCCTCGCCGGGGACGGGCGGCCCGAACCCCCAGCCCACATCCCCTGGTACCCTGGCAAGCTCCCGGGTCACGTGCAAGTCCGGGGGCCCCTGGAGAGCGGAGTGACCCCCTCCGAGGAGAGAAGGGAATTAAGGGCCGAAGGCGAAGGAGCTGGAGACCCGGGCGGAGGAGGACTCAGCCGGCCGGGAGCAGGGGACCACAGTCCTGTCTTTCCCAGAGGCCCGGGGTGGCGCCCGGCGGCGCCCCGGGTGGCCCGGGAGAGGTGGCCGCAGCCCAGGCACCCGGAAAGGCGGTGGGCGTGTTCTCTGAGGATGTGGTTACTGGCGGACTGGGGGTTCGCGGTGACCTCTCGCGCCAGGGCTCGGGTTTCCCTTGCGGGGTGGTTGGCGGGGGCTGGAGCGCACCCGCGCACAGCGCTGCACCTGCGGCCCGATCGGGACGGGCGGGCCCTGGGAAAGGCGGGCCGGGGCGGGCTCGGGGAGAGGCCCTGCCCCCTGCCCTCCCGCCCACCCCTGCAGGTCGGAGCGGGGAGGAGGTGCGGGCGCGGGGAGCGGATCCACGGAGACTGGGAGGGGCCGCGCTGCCTCGGAGACTCATTGGAGGACCCGACCCCCGAAGCTGATAAATATAAGGGACCAGGCCGCGGCTGGCGGCCAAGTTGGACGTCCCGACCCGAGCGAGGGCCAGGTCACCACCGGCCCCGCAAGGCGAAGCCCGGCGACCGCGAGCGGCCATGGCCTCGCTGCTGGGAGCCTACCCGTGGCCCGAGGGGCTCGAGTGTCCAGCCCTGGAAGCCGAGCTGTCGGAGGGGCTGTCGCCGCCGGCCGCCGCCCGGCCCCCTGGGGACAAGGGGTCCGAGAGCCGCATCCGGCGACCCATGAACGCTTTCATGGTGTGGGCCAAGGACGAGAGGAAACGTCTGGCCGTGCAGAACCCGGACCTGCACAACGCAGAGCTCAGCAAGATGCTGGGTGAGTGACCGGCGGCCGGCCGGGCTCCCCGAGGGGGACGGGCAGGAGCGCGGGGCACGGGACGCGGGCGCAGGGGCGTCCGCCGCGTCGTGGGCCGCTCGGGCCGGAATTAGAGCAGGGACCTCCCCGCCCCGGCCGGCGCAGTCCAGAGTGAAGCTGCTGGCGGGGGTTCTGTGAGGCCCCTCCTCTCGGAAGAGGTGACCCCCGCGCAGGGACGCTGCCGGGACGGAAACGTGGAGGTGGGAGACCCGCGCTTGCAGGGAGGCTGGAGCAGGAAGCCGCCTTCCCGATGGGGACAGTCAGGGGGATCGCCGCAGATACAACCACGAAAACGCGCAAAGAAAGGCCTCGCGGGGTGCGTCCTTGCATTGGCTTAATTATTAAACCGACAGCCAAGAAGGGGCCGCCCTGATAGGCCGGTTCGCTGCCTGTGCGCCTGTCGGGGCGCGCAGGTCGCTACTGGATGCTCGGGCGGCCGGGGAAAGGCTGCCGGGCGCCGCTGTTTCCCGAAGCTGCTCGGGCGCTGGGGACAGGGACGGGGCACAGGGACGGGACAGGCCAGAGCAGCCCCGAGGGAGGGTGTCAGGCGGTGTCCGGGAAAACGTGAGTTCCCGCGGGCTCTTTCCTCTCCGCAGCAGCGCCTGCCTCGCACCCTCTTTGCCGTCCTCGGGTTTGATTCATGCGAACCAATGAGAATCAATGCGCACTGTGCGTGCGTGCGGGCGGGCGGGCGCCAGGCCCTGAGCGGGAAGTGCGGTCCCTCGACCCCGCCCGGCGGCCGGCGGTCAGCGGCCGGAACCAGCCCTTTCTTCTTCCGTCGGAGCAGGGCTCCTTCCCAGGCCGGGGGGAGTGACGTCCCCTACAAGCTGGCCGAAACCCCGCGCCTGGAGCGTGGCCCCAGCTCCCCCTCAGGTTAGGCTGAGCTCAGGCTGGGGAAGCCCGGGGCGCCCGCGCCTCGCGCCCACGGCAGCTTCGCGCGCCGGGTGCATTGGCGGCCCGGCCTCCGTGCAGAAGAGTGAAGCCTCTGTTTTGTGCCGTTGTTGTTAGCATAACGAGAGATACATTCAAGTAGTCGTAAACATTTTTCTTGGACCTAAAAGTCCACATTTTTCTTAGCTTTTAAAAGAAAATTTCTTGGTGAATTTCCTAAAACTTTTTCCCCGTGGCTGTAGTAGCCAGGCACAGCGACCAGGTTTCTGTTGGGGGCGCAGGCAGACGTGGGGGGAGCATGGAGCCAGGTGCTCCTGTGGACAAGGACGGCAGACAGCCGTAGGAGGCAGAGGCCCCCACGGAGCCCACCCGTATCTGGTCCTTGCACCCAGCCTTAATGTGACTCCAGTTCCTTCCTACGTAATAGGCTGGTGACAGCAGCACAGTGTCGCTGTGTAAAACGGAACGGCGCACTGTTGATAGGGTCGGGCACCAGGATGAGCTACTTCCAGCCCATGGTCTTTTTCTCAGCCCTTCTCTCTCTGAACTGTTGAAAGAAAGGGCTGGATGCAGGGCCTGTTTTTCACTGTAAACTTTCCAATCTGTAATGTTAGAAACTTCACCCAGGGGCACCGTTGTTTCTGGTACAGTATGAGAAAGTGTATCAGGACAGTTAGACCAAACCTGCATTTTATTACTGCACAACATCCAGGCACATTTAGGAACTGCAGTCACAATTTGTATTTGGAACACGAGGTGTGGGATGTGTCTGGATCGCAGGCCTCTTATAAGAACTTTGTGACCTCAGCTACAGGCTCGGGACCAGTGTCCTGACCGGAATCTGGAGTTCCCAACCCTCTTTAAGTCACCTTTCGAAGTGACAGCTCATGACAGTGATTGGCAACTCCGCAGAATAGTTGTACACATTCACCCAAGGGACAGAATGCTTTAACAATTGCCCTTCTTGAGCTCTTTGAAGGCCTGGCCCTCGGAGCCACCAGTGTGGGCTCTGAGGCCATCCACCCGGCTCTGTGCTGAACCTTCCCGATGGCATGTGCTAAGTGGAAGACGTGGCCCCTTTCCTTACAGGGCTTAGCCAGGGGCCTTGGCCTCTCGGCTAGTGGGTCTCCAACCTCAGGCTGTTAGTGTCATGGGGAGGTAGAGGTGCAGAATCCCAAGGCAGTTCTAGAAGGTAACAATCCAGGGGTGACCCTCAGAATACTCTGGCACCAGAGGAATGGATAGAAGAGAGACACCAAGGTGATTTGCAAATCATCAGACAGCAAGAAATGACAAATTAGAAAGTCAAGTGCTGGCAGCATTTTAACACTGGTGAGTTATAAGAGCAGGGTGCTATTACTGCAGTATCTGACATCTCATTCACAATGAGAAAACTGAGGCACAGAGGGGTTAAGGGGTTTGCTTCTGTATGAAGTCAGTGGCTGAGAAGGAAGCCCTGGGGTCTCAAGGAGACAGCCAGAAGCAGTATCTTGTGTGTGTGTGTGTGTGTGTGTGTGTGTGTGTGGCAGGCAGACGTCGGCACTCCGGCCATGAACAGGTCTTCTTCCTGAGGTAGACTGATCATTTGTTAGCCCAGGTGAGCACCCAGAATTGATTTGCATCTGTGAAACTGATGGGCGAGCTTGGGTTGCCTCAACCAAGGGCCCTAAGGCTGATGCCAGAAGGAAGTTGTAGTATCATTCAGAGGCAGGGAATTTTCATTTAAAAACACACATGACTAGAACTGACTTTCAAAAGGTAGGAAGAGCCCTAGTCAATGCCATGGTCATTGGTATTGTTTTCCTGTCACTGATGTTGAGTCCGGAGTCCTGTGCTGTTTGTGTAGCCTTTGGGGGTTTCTCACGAGAAGTGATGGTCTCCATGCACCCTTTGCATGAAGGGGCTTTGCAGGCTGCAAACAGAGGGGCTGGTGGCGCCTTCGATTGTGAGCAGGCTCTGCGCTGGAGCGGGTGCTAGGCAGGGCGGAGCGATGCTGAGCGCAGCCTTCTCTGGCTTGTGTGAGCAGGGAAGTCCTGGAAGGCGCTGTCGCTGTCGCAGAAGAGGCCGTACGTGGACGAGGCGGAGCGGCTCCGGCTGCAGCACATGCAGGATTACCCCAACTACAAGTACCGGCCCCGAAGGAAGAAGCAGGCCAAGCGCCTCTGCAAGCGCGTGGAGCCCGGCTTCCTCCTGAGCTCCCTCTCCCGGGACCAGAACACGCTGCCTGAGAAGGGCGGCGGTGGCCGCGGGGCGCAGGGAGAGAAGGAGGGCAGGGGTGAGTACTCCCCAGGCACCACGCTGCCCGGCCTCCGGGGCTGCTATCGCGAGGGCCCGGCCGGTGGTGCCCCCAGCAGTGTGGACACGTACCCCTACGGGCTGCCCACGCCCCCGGAGATGTCTCCCCTGGACGCGCTGGAGCCAGAGCGGACCTTCTTCTCCTCCCCCTGCCCGGAGGAGCACGCCCAGCCCCACCACCTCCCACAGCTGCCCGGGCCCCCCTACTCCCCGGAGCTGGCGCCCAGCCCCCTCCACTGCAGCCACCCCTTGGGCTCTCTGGCGCTCGGCCAGACCCCGGGGGTGTCCCTGATGTCCACAGTCCCCGGCTGCCCCCCATCTCCTGCCTTTTACCCCCCAGCCACCTACCACCCGCTCCACTCCACCCTGCACACCCACCTGGGCCAGCTCTCCCCGCCCCCAGAGCACCCCGGCTTCGACGCTTTGGATCAGCTGAGCCAGGTGGAACTTCTGGGGGACATGGATCGCGATGAGTTTGACCAGTATTTGAACACTCCTGGCCACCCAGACTCTGTTGCTGGGACCAGGGCCCTCAGTGGTCACACCCCACTGTCCCAGGTGACCCCCACGGGCCCTGCAGAGACCAGCCTCATCTCCGTCCTGGCCGATGCCACGGCTGCGTATTACAACAGCTACAGTGTGTCCTAGAGCCTGAGCCCGCCCCTGCTACCTGCCCGTCTGCGCACAGCGCCACCAGCCTTCCTCCAGCCCCCAGTGGTGAGGCCCAGACACCGGCCCGGAGCCTCCATCCCACAGCCAGGACAGGCCCTGCGGATCCAGTGCCCCGTGAATTCCACTGGCTGCAGCCCAGGAGCAGGGCCCTCTGGGACACTTCTCCCTCCCAGAAGACTTCCCTGCCCTGCTCTCCTTGCCTGTTGCCGCTAGACCCTCCCCTGATGCTGACATGGCCACTGATCGCTGGGTGCTTGAGGTGGCAGAGCCAGGGTCCAGATCCCAGAGCTGCCGCAGACTCTGGTAAAAGCCCCGCCCGTCCTCCCCTCCTCCTTCCGCGCCGACAAGCCAGGGCGGACCGGACAGCCGAGCCCTCCGCTGTCCTCTAGGTTTCTGAGTTAGGGTTCTGGTAAGGCTGCCTGAAGGACAGCGGGGAAGCCTGGGGAGCGCAGGCTGGCTCTGGACTCGGGCTTTCTGCTCTTTCTGCCCTGCCCTCCGTCTGCAGTGACCCTCGGGTCAGGACTCTTCCAGGTGGAGATAAACACCCTCCCGATTCGGGAAGTCAGACAGCAGGGTCACCTGCATCACTGGAGATAGGATTGAATTGAAGCTGGTTTTTTAAGATACGTTTATAGATAAATTCTTTTTGATCACACACACTTAGTGAGAGTCTGTGAGAGACACCTCGTACTCACCTTCACACACACTGCTGTGTGCTGTAAACCGGGTCTGCTAAGTGGCTTTGCCCTGAAAGATCCGCAGAGCCAGGTCCTGACACAGCATCCCTGTCTGCAAATCCGGATGTGTTGGCTTCACTTCCTTCCCGCTGCCTCAGCTCCCCTTCTCCCTTTCCTGGAATTCCCTGCTGTCCTCTGCTTGCTCTTCCTCCACCCCTGAGCGGGTCCCCAGCACAAAGAGCCCCTGACTTGAAATCCCAGTGATTCCTTTCTTTTCCTTGTGAGCCTGTGGCTCCCTGGAGCACCATCCTCAGCCAGTCCCTTAGAGCAACTTCCCCGCAGCACGGAGGTGAGACTCACTTCCCAGCCAGAAATTCACTGTGACTCTGACCCGGTTCTGAGCCCAGACATTTCTGTCCACCCCCACCCCCAGCTTCCTTGAAGGAACACCCTGGTGGGACACTCGCTTGTCTTTTGACATCAGCATTTTATTGCCCGGGTGAAATATGTTTTATATATTCTCCTGTTATGCTCCCCTTATATTTCGTATTGCTGAAAGATCCTTTTTTTTCTTCCAAGAAGTCTTATGTAAAACCACTTATATGATTACTCTTTATGTTATTACTGTGTATGCCGTTTGGTAATAAATAGTAAATTGTTCTGGTGCACAGCCCAGAAGTGAATTAATAATCATGTAAAACAGTATCGCAGACATGAAGCTAAACTGCTCCATTTTTTTTGTAAGGACCACACGTGTTTGGAGTAGTTATGGTATTGATTTGTCAAAAATATTTAATTTAAATAAACTTTTTTGTACCATCGCCATTCTGTCATTTGAAATACAGTTGGGCAAAAAGAAAAAGTTTTCAAGTGAAGCATAGTTAGGGGCTGGGGATTTAGCTCCGTGATTCCAGCGCCTGCCTCGAAAGTGCAAAGTCCCGAGTTCGATCCTCGGTACCAAAAAAACCCCCAAACATACATTCCCAAGTGAAGCATAGTTAATATGTCCCATGCTACTTGTAGTACTGGTCAAAATGTTTTCTGCATCAACATTTTATTTTAAAGATTTGCTACCTTGCAGCAGTGGCTTATCTTCCATTAGGAGTTGCTAGGCCAGATAGATAAAGCTCAATTTCACGCAGTGGGAGCAGTGTTGTTATCATTGGCATTAAGAGAAAATACTGATTCACAGCCCACAGGACCCCTGCAAATTGGAGTGAGGAGACCATGGCTACCTGATGTACTATTATCTGCTTGCTTGTTTTTTTCAAATCACTGTGAAGAGCACAGCACCTTGCTTGGCCCCTCCTCTGCATGTAGGGCTGGCCCAGCAGGGTGACAGGGTCTTCTCCTGGAGAAGCCAGGAGAGTGTGGCGTGGTGACCGAAGGACAGAGTCTGGTGAGGTTTAGGGTTACCCTCCCAGGAAAAAGTACCTGGAAAGGTTGATGATTACCCAGGCCCCAGGCATCACCTCTCCTGGCTCTCCATGGGCGAGCAGTCGTGACTTGTTGAAGTCAAGGGCAGCTTTGTGCCTTCCCAGGCCCCTGGGCCAAGGAGGGTCTTAGGAGGGCCATCCTTCAGTTGGCTCCTATGCCATGCTCATTGCTCTAATAGCACCTTAAGGGTGCACGGAGCTTTGCGACAGGTGGAGCCCATCCTCCACCCACACACCGCATGGCATATCCGGGGACACCAAGGCCCAGGGCAGAGGCTGGCATGGGGCTCCCCACATACACCAGGGCACCTGCCAGATGCGCTTGTTGGCAGCGTTTTAGCCAGACAATGCCCTGGCTGGGCTTGGTGCTTTTGCTTTAGCGCTTTCCGGTGGCACGGAATCATATCCTGCACAATCCACACCTACCTCTTAGGCAAGGAGTGACATGGGCCAAGGACACATGTCAGAGGAAATGACAGCCGGACCAAGACAAGGCTGCAGCCCTCCCTGTCACGGTGGCAGGCAGATGGTGGCATCTGCAGGGTCACTGCCCCCCAGGCACTGCTGGTCGGGCAGTGTCTGGCAGGAGCTGTCCCTGGAACTGTGAGGGTGGTGCTGTCCCGGCCTCCACCAGGGCAGGAAGTAGGTGGGCAATGTGCCTGGTCCGCTCTCTGGGAAGCCGTTTGCCAGAAGCCAGGGCCCCAGAGAGTTGTGGCCGCCATCCTGGGTCCCTGCGGCCTGCAGTGCCTGGAGCACTGTTTGCTTCGGCTGAGGAGCCTGGGTGGCAATGTGCAGTGTTGCTACTTTTCTGAAACGTAGATGTCTCCATGTCACTTCCTGCCTAGGATCAATCGGTGACTGCTTGTCACCCAGAGCACACGGCACAGGGGGCCTCACAGCGAGCCCAGGGCTCCCATTCTGGGCCCTAACCTGGGCAGCTTTGGGGCAGGAAGCCTGATCAGGGTCCACCTGGCCAATTGTCTTTATAAACTTTGCCAAAGGGAGATACTTATTTAGGAGTCTTCCTCACCCACTGTCCAAGCCTGGGGCCGTAACACCTGCTCGTGCCCATGCACGTGCCATTGTGACTGACCCTCATCTTTCCAGAAGCTTCTCGCCCCGCTCCATCTTACCACAAAGAACCCGTTGGGCTCTGAAGACTCCTTTCCCTGCCTCAGTGCTTCATCAGCGCTGGTCCCTCCTGGGAGACCCTGTCTGGTGACACCTGCCTGCTGTCCAGGTCGGGGTCAGAGGTCCCCACCACGGCGATGGTCCCTCTCTCTCCCACAGGATGTGGACAGGTCTCGGGGACCGAGGAGCATCCAGCACACGCATCCTTCCCCACGGGGGACCCAGACTAGCCCTGCGGCGGATAGACGGACAGACGAGGGACACCTGAGACACCTCATTTGGGTCGGCTGTACAGACCTGACGCTTCTGGGCCCCGCTTCACCTCAAATCTCTCTGGAAGCTGAGGTCACAAGCATGTGTGTGGGTCCTTGTCGGGCTCTCAGGCAGGGTTGGGGCGACACCTGCTGCAGTGTAGGCAGGAGGAAACAGGCCGAGACGAGAGCCAGAGGACACAGAGGAGAAAGAGCTCCTCTCGCTCCCTGCCTGGGGGCAGCAGAGCAGGGCGGAGGGCGGAGGCCGGGGCCCTAACCCTGCACTTGCCTGTCTTTCCTCCCAAGAGGGTTGTGATCCAGATCCCATGTCAGCGACCAGGGAAGGAGGGAAGGGACAGAGGCAGGGAGACTTGTCACCCACCCCTCTGCCCCCTTTCCCTCTTTCCTTCCTCCTTTCCATCCCTCTCTCTGCCTGCCTCCCACGGCTCACTTTCTATGGACCCATATCCACCCCTGGGTGCACACCCAGCTCTCTGTCCACCCCTGCTTCTGGATCTGTCTGTACTCCACATCTCAGTAGAGACATTGTCTTTACAGAGAGTCGAGAAAAAATAACAGGTTCTAAAGAAAAGAACAAGTCATCTGTTGTCTACAACTTAGGAGACATTGCTGGTAATATTTGGACATATTTTCATGCTGACTTGTTGGGTTTTTTTTTGGTACCAGGGATCGAACTCGGGACCTTGCACTTGCGAGGCAGGTGTCAGAACCACTGAGCTAAATCCCCGGCCCTTTTTGTTTTCTTTTGCAGTGATAAGGATGGAGCCAGGGGCCTTGTGCCTGCAAGGCAAGTGCTCACTCTACCACTGAGCTCCTCTGCATTTGTTTATTATTTATTTCCAGATATACATATATATATATATGTCTTTTATAGAGACATTTTTACTCATTAATATTAAACAAACATTTCCCTGCGCCATTAAACTTGTCTACAAAAGCTGTCTTCTTCCTATTTGGAAAATCAATATGAACAAAATCTTGAAAAAGACGAATTTCCCACCAGATGTATTTTCAGCACACTCGTTTGGTTGTCCTGCACTCCCTGCCCGAGTCCATGCGCATGCAGTTGTACCAGTTCTGACCCTGGGGGTGTGGACAGGCTGCAGCCACGGGCCAGGGGCTGGATCGACTCTGCACCCTGCAAGAGTGACTGACCTCTGTCTTTGTGTCTCTCACCCTCCACAACTGTGCGGTGTTTGGGCGCAGTGATATTGCTGACTTTACCTGACCATCCCCGTGCTGTCTGGTAACTGAATCATCCCCTCTTCTAAATCACTCTGCAGTCAACGTTGCTGGTTTGTGTCCTTAGCTGGGTCCTCATGCACATCTGTGGCTTTGGCTTCTGGGCTCCAGCTTTCCAAGCGGGTCTTACCTGGCACCTGGATTTCCCACAGCGAATCACCTTTCCTAAGGGGAAGAATGAACTGTCAACCACTTATGAGGGGCCCGAGTCTCACAGGCTCACCTGGCTTTACCCCTCTTCAGCCTTGGGGTGCCTTTGGCTGTGGCTCCCACCAGGGGTCCCTTCCCTCTCATCTTGGGTACAGAAGGATTGTCCTGGTGGTCAGCAGCTGGAGGCTTCCCCAGCCACCACAGGCACAAACAGTGCCGCAGCTCTGTCCCTGGGAGGGGTGGAGTCAGGAGCAGGGCAGGCTCAGCCCTCACTGGCTGCTGCTGGGACTTGGGTGAGCCCCGAACCTGCCCTCTGGCCTTGGGAGAGAGGGAGTGAACTCACAGGCATTTCAGAACCTGCAAAGCTTTGTGCCCATGCACAGAAGAGCCCTGTGATTTTGGATTTCCGAGGGTGATTTCTATTGCTTTTAGTCTGCAGGCTAGTGCCAGGTCGAGAACTCAGGAGCCAGGTGTTCAGTGACATCGCGTTGGGACTGAGTGTCCAGGGCCCTGAGGAAAAGACCCAAGCATGACCGAGGCGGCGCGTGGGTGACTCTGTGGGTGTCGTTCTCTGGCACTCAGCTGGGGCTTGCAGTTCCCTTCCAGCCCACCCCCTCCTCTGTCGAGTGCAGTCTCTGCGGTTCTTGGAAGACAGCTTTTTGTTCAGTTTGAAGATCCCCAGAAGAGGGGGTTATTCCCTGTGTAAGCTAGTCTGACAAATTCCATCATCAGAAAGTTCTGGTACAACCACTGTGGAAATCAGTGTGGAGATTTCTCAAAAAACTAAAACTAGAGGTTCCATTTGACCCAACTATACCTCTTCTTGGTATCTTCCCAAAAGATTTAAAAGCATCATACCACAGTGATATATGCACACCCATGTTTATAGCAGCACAGTTTGTAATAGCTAAAGCTTGGAAACAGCCCAAATGCCCATCAACGGACAAGTGGATAAAGAAGATGGGGTTTTTTTATACAGTGGAATACTACTCTGCCATAAAGAAGGATGAGCTTCAGACACTTATAGCTAAATGGATGGACCTTGAGACCATACTCTTGTGAAATAAATCAGACACACATGTTAAAATACCGCATTGTTTCTTTTTATGAGAAACTGAATGTAGAAATAAGGACTGAAATGTATACTGGATGTTGGGAAATGGGAAGAAAGTGTTCAAATGGGAAGGGGAGCAACAGAGGAAGGAGAGAGAAAGGAAGAAAGTGACAAGAAAACAAGTGAAAATAGAAGGGAAAAATGGAAACAAAGCTTTTGTACATGGGGGGGTTTGAGTGGGGGGAATGGGATAAAATTTTTTTAAAAAGAAAAAAAGATGAAATCACTTGTGAAGAGTTCCCAGCTTGTAAATAGTAGCACTGGGCCAGAAACTGATTCCACATTCACGCTCTTTCCACTGTGTAAATTCACAGTAAAGCTGCATTGGATAGTTGACCACTAAAAATCTCTTTTAATTCAGGATTATATTAATCTATCTGTGATTAATAACTGGCCATATCCTTGCATCATTTACCCTACTATTAGGCTTTTAAAAAAGGACTCAAACCATGAGAAGATTCAGAGGTTAGTGGCTCCAGTCACTCAAAGACTGGGGACCAGCACTCCTACTTACCAACTGCCACCTCTTGTAGCTGGCATCACAGACTTTAAAGTGTGCAACAGGAAAAGGACCCATCTCTTCGGGGCTCTTTCTGGGGGATCCAAACTGCTCTCCCAGCTCTCTGTATCCCCCTACCCTATCTCATGGGCCTGTAGTGCAGAAGGGGGTGTGTTTGAATCAGGGCTGGGTCACGCTGACTAGGCCTGCTGAAGAGTGGAGGCCAGGTCTCTGAAACTCGGGGTTACATACATTCCTGAACAAAATCAGAGTTCTCTAAGGAAGGAAGACAGGAGAGATGGCTGTCAGAGGGCAGCTAACACTCCAATCTTTTTTTTTTTTAATTTTGGTACCAGGGATTGAACTCGGGACCTTGTACTTGTGAGGCAGGCAGCGGAACCACTGAGCTAAATCCCCACCCCGTAACACTCTAATCTTAAAGGAAATATATCCCCCCAAATTAATGCATGCACAAGCTAAGCAATTTTAAAATGTTCTTCTCTACTTGGAATATTCTGTTTGTCTTTAAATCATTGTATAGTTGGAAACAAATAAGTTAAATGTATATTTTTCTAAAAAAGCAAGTTCTTTCTTCTGCCTCTTGCAACCTCTCCTGTTTCAGCCCGAGTCCTCGTTTGCTTGGTGTCGCCTGTGGAGATGTAGGGCTATGTGTCTACATGTTGGCCAGGTAATCCCGTCCCTGAAGGCTGGTGGTCACCCTGTCTCCTTTTGGGGATCATGTTTGAAGTTGGGGTGGAGATTTTGCTCCAGACCCTGAATGCTGTATGACTGCAGGATTCGGAGGGAGGGAAAGCTCTGTTACTACAAAACGTGGGAGGAGGACGAAGGGTTTCAGCAGGGGCTGGGCATGCTCCCTGTGGGTGCTTCTGGAATGTCCCAAAACAGCGTCACGTGTAGTCATGCTGTGGGTCACATGCTGGGCTCCCCAGCCCTGCTCACCACCCCTGCCTGTGGTTACTCATCTCTCCTCTCTGTCCAAGGGGCCTTGGAGAGACCCAGGTGCCCCGCCTGGAAGTGTTGGCTTCTGGTGCCACGGGGGTCTCTGCAGCCCCCAGGAGCCTCAGGGAGGCTGCTTTTTGTGTCTTAGAGGTGCCAATGGCAAGATCTGCCAGCTGAGGCTGTGACCCAGTAGTTCAAGGTCATTTGGAGGCCAGGTGGCCAAAGTCGTCAGCCTGCTCCTCCAGCGCGTCTCTTCATGCCAGATGGTTCAGAATCCTGGAGAACCTCGGAGCTCCTCCATCCTGAAGTCAGGAGTCAGAAACTTCCTCTTACTTTATCCTTCTCTGAAAGATGGAGGCGTCTGCCCCACATCTCAGGGCACAGTGAAGGCCAGGGAGCCGTGTGACATCTGAAAATGAGCTGGAGGCTGGAGAGAGCAGAAGACGGGTAACCTGTCTGAGCATAAGCCTCACCCATCCATCCAGAGCCACCCTAACCTAGACACAGCGTGGGTGTCGGATCTGGCCCAGGGCCTCTGAGGACACCAGCATCCCGGATGCTCAACTCCCCTACGTAAAACGCTGAAGGGTTTGCCTTTAACCCACGCAGTCCTCCCATATGCTTCACATCATCTCTAGAAGAGCATAATGCCTCAAACAATGTATCTGCTGTGGAAGTAGTGGTTGCACTGCATTGAGGAATAGACAAGAAAACAAAGCCTGTACTTGATCAGCACTGACAAAACGCCCCCTGACACTGGGCCTCCCACACAGCTCCTTTTCTTCAGAGCATCTTCAATCTGTTGGCTGAGTCTGTAGATGAAACTTTGTGGGTCTGAGGGCTGCCTATCGTTGCAGCAGTAAGGGACAGACAGAGGCTTGGAACTGGAGCCTCCTCCCAGCTCTGTGACCTTGAAAAAAAAATCACCGACTGGTTGGGCCGGAAGGAATCACTGTTGTCATTCTGTCAACCCCTAGATTTGACGGAAAAGGAAACGGAGCCCCAGAGACGTTAAGGGGTTTGCCTGGGGATAAACAGCTGCAAACCTGGTGGTGGGGAGGGTGTAGCCAGCCAGGTAGGTCCCCCAGGGTGGTGGCTGCAGGGAGGTCCCTTCCCACTCTCCCTGAAGGCTCTCGGGTTCAGGACGGGGCTGGGCCCTGGGTCCCGGGAGGAGTAAGGGCGGAAGGCGCCTCCTGAAGCCCAGCTCCCCTGGATGGGTGCTGGCCCAGGACGTGAAGGCAGTAACAGGGCTCTGGGGGGGCCGAGTTGCAGTGTGGACACTGCTGGAGGCCTCCAAGGGCTGCCACTCTGACGTCCCTGTGCCAGTGCCATCCTGTGTGCCCACCTTGCCCTGCATCCAGTGTCTGCGGGCACAGCGTGTACCCAGCCCCAGCGGCTGGGGACAGAGCGGAGGTGAGGAAAGGCTGGCGGGGGGGTGGAGGCGAGATGCAGTCAGCGCAGGGCGCTTTCCTGCCCCTGGGAGCTGCCCGAGCTGGAGCAGGAGGATGTGGCCAGGCCCAGTGTTTCCTGCCTGATAAGCCGCCCTCCCTTCACAGGGAGCCAGGCTGGCCACCTTCACGCCTCAGCCCTGCCCAGGGAAGGGCGGTGTGGAGGAAAATCTCTTCTCCAGATTAGCCAGCTGCGCCTTCCTCCCCGCCTGTCCTGTGGCCACAGCCATAGGAAGTGCCCGGCCTGCAGCCCCGAGGTCCCACCCAAGCCCGGCTGCCGTCTCGGCCCCACCTCCGGAGCCCTCGGCAGGGCCCACCGCCCCACATGTCCCTCACGTCCCCAGCCTGGAGTGTGGCCCCGGAACTGGTCACAGTTCTATTCACAGAGGGTGCATGGATCTGCTTCCTCCTGCCCGTGGGGTACTCCCGGGGACCGCCTCGAAGAGACACTGCAGGACGGGGCTGTGGGCTGTGGCCGGTGGGTCCAGATCCAGCCCTCTGAGCTGTGTCCTGCTGCGGAAGAGGTGAGCCACTCAGGACCAGGGGCTCCTCTCCTCTGACTCAGGACCTGGATGCTGGGAGTGCTCAGGAGCAGCAGGGATGGTGGCTGTCCCTCGGGGAGCTCAGCGTCCCCAGAAGGCAGGGCGGTGGCTGGGGGTGGCCCCTTTTCTGTGCCATCGTGGGCTCACTCTAGTTCCGCCCTCCCCTCTCTGGCTTCTCTGCTTCTGCCCAGGGAGCAGGCCAGGCCTGGGGACGCTGTCAGCACCGTGCTTCCAGTGCCCATCACAGCGAGGCCCACACAGCCTGCTTGGGCCCCTCACAGGCAGGGCAGCCGACCTGAGGCTGCACACAGGGCCGAGCGAGGTCACAGTGCTACACAGCGGGGACAGCATCCTGGGGTCCTCACGCCTGGCTGGTGGGAGACAAGGCCCTGTCCAGGAGGAGCAGCTGCCCCTGGGCCTGCAGCTAGGCTGCCTTTTCCACCCAGCCTGGCCCGGCTGCACCTCCTGCCCTGACACAGCCTGTGGGTGGCAAGGAGAGCTGGGGAATTCCCTGGCCGGCTGGCAGCATGGCACAGGGCCACCAAGCTGTGGGGGCTCTGAGCATGGGGAGACTGGTGGAGGATGGAAGATCTGAGTCTCAGCCTTCTCATCGAATGCTCTCATAGGCCCGTTCAGCCATGGGTCTGCCGTGTGATGCTGAGCCAGCCACATCCCTTCTCTGGGCCTAGGTAAATCAGGATGCAGAACTCAGCTTCCTCCAGCAAGCACTTGGAGCCCCGAGGAAGGGTGAGGGTGCTCAGGGGGTCCTCCCCTCCCTGCCCCAGGCCTCAGGCTGGAGATATGGGGGGGCTCCTTGTCCCCGCGCAGGGGTCCCACTGTGCAGAGCCAGCCAGGTGAGGCCTGGAAGTCGTGCACAGCTGGGCTGGGCGGCAGCTGCTGCATCTCGGTGAGCACTCCCGCCAGAGCACCCTCGGCCAGGCACCTGGCCTGGCCCCGCGCCCAACGTCCCAGCCAGCCCCGCCTCCCGCATTCTGTCCTTCCAGGCCTGCAGCCTGCTCCAGACCCTCACCCAGTCTCTTGCTAGCTCTTGCCCCAGCCCTGTCCTCTCCCTCTGCTGTCCAGCCAGGAAAGATAAATATATATACGTATATTTTTGCATAAAATCTTTTCCTCACCCAGTAATGCCAACAAAGTGAGGCTCAGACTTCTCTCATCTCTTCCTCTTCCAGTCTCAGCTTACCAGGCCCAGCTCTCCTCACCCGATTCACACCCACGGCAGACGCTCAGATGGGATCTGTTTCTTCTCCCCTAGGGAAATGCCTCCCTACATCTGCTCTGGGTAGATTCTTGTCGTCTAGAGACCCAGCTGAGCTGTTTCCACCACAGAAGCCTTTTCAGCACATCCTCCAGCCACCCAGCTGCCCCTCGCCACAGTCCCCTCCCCACACTGACTGTGGCTCCATTCTCTGTCTGTTCCCACAGTGCCTCACGTGGAATGTAGAGTGTGAGGACAGAACCTCTGTGTTCTTAAGTTCTTTCTTCCCACTAGCCTGGGAAAGTGCTCGCCTGTGGAGGTATTGTATCAATCTGCGGTCCCGTGGCGGGCACATAGTAGGTCTCCAATCAATCTGAAGGGCCGCTCGGGGCTCCGACACAGGCCACCCCACCCTCTGCTCGGCTTCATTGGTTGGTGGCTCAGTTTCCTTGTAAGTTGGCACCACTTTATCAGAAGGTTGCAGGTGACAGTGGTAAAGAGAAGTAGTGGGAACAGCTCAGGAGATGAGAAAAAAATGCCTAATATCATCACCGCTTGTTGATCCTAGAAAAATGTATTCTCCACTGGAGCCCTGCCACTTCCTAGGCTGTGTTCATACCCCACCCACCCTTGGCCACCAGTCAGGAACAAAAAAATTTAGAACACTGTCCTCACGAGAGCACGGTGAGGGAGAGAATGTGTGTCACACGAGGCCACACACAGGGCACCAAATCTCTTGGGACAGATAGTGGAGGTCTGATGCTGACAGTTAATGTTGGCCGCCCCTCCTTAGTAATACCTTTTCCAGGCCCAAGTACAAACTCTCCCGGTATAATTTACTTATTTTCTTTTGGTACTGGGGATCGACCTCGGGACCTTGTGCTTTCGAGACAGGTGCGGCACCACTGAGCTAAATCCCCAGCCCCCTGTAATTAACTTTATATAACACCTAAGCACACACAGAAAACTTGGGAGTACAGAGCCACAAAGAGAAAGGGGGAGAGAGACAGAGCGAGCTCCGTGTGAAGATGCCCTCAGTTAATATTTCCTTGGGTTCCTCCTAGATCCTTGCATGAACCCACATAAGCATTTACAATTCTTTTAGAATATGGGGATTACATTGTTTTGGAAACTTGCCTTTTAAAAAAGTGAACATGTGGCTTGAATGTCCTTCTGTATCCCTCCATGCATGGCTTCCGGTGGCTGCCGCATGTCCTGAGGGGACCTTTCTACAGCACCCTCTTCCACTCAACAGTCACCAGACCCCAGCTCCACCCCCAAGCCCTCAGTTTTGCCCTAAAAGAGCAGCTGCTGAGTCCTGCACAGCCACACCCCTGCTGGTCCTCTAGGGAGGGCAAAGCAGGCCGTCCTGGCCTTCTGTCAAAGGCCCTGTCCCCTGTGGCCATCCGGGCCCCTCCTCTCAGGCAGCACTGGTCAGCCCTGCTGGGAAAGGCCCACTGGCAATGTCCAGGACCCAGAGATGGCCACTTTCAGTCCCCCAGGTGCCCAGGAGGGAAGTGACTCGCCAGAGGGCTGAGGGTGACTCAGCGGCTTGGCTGGGCTGCCCCAGAGTGCTGGGAACCGGCCCTGGGCGCTGTTGTGCTGGGGAGGAAATGTCTCTTCCTGGGAGGGAGGGGCAGAGGCCCTGGGGTGCCTGGGCCTGTCCCATGTGTTCCTCTCTGCCCAGCTGGACTGTGGCTATGCAGGATGTGAACTTCAGTCCCCTGTGCACCAAGTCAGGCCTCCTGGAGGCAGGGAGGGGACGGAAGGGCTCTCATCTAGGCAGGTAAGAGGCTTGGCTGCTTCTGACTCAGCTTCACCCTCTATTAGTCAAATGACCTTGTGCAATCATTCCACCTGCCTGAGCCTCAGTTTCCTCATCCGTCCTGTTGAAGCCTTCCCTGCCCGTCCCATCTCTCTGACTTCAGAGAAGTAATGGGTGTTGCAGGGTGGCTCACGGAGCCAAACCACTGCCTGGCAGGGTGGAGCTCCCCCAGGGTGGTTGGATTAAGGGCCCAATCTCTCTCCTCTCTCTCCCTCCCTTGCTTCTCTTCGCCAGCGTCTTCCTTCTTGCAGTTTGGAACCTCCTCCTAGAATCCAAAAGGAAGTGGTTGGGGAAACTTTAAGGTGAAAAATCCCTGGATTGGCCATCATGATGAGGTGTGGTGGATGGGGTGAGGATGCAGTACTTTGACTGGTCCAGTTTGAGTCATGTGCCTCTGTCTGGTCCAATCACTGGGGGCAATGAAAGTGGAGTATTATGATTGGTCCCCTTGGGGAGGGAGCTCACCCATTGGCCAAGGAGGGAGTGGGCCAAGGTCCACCAGACTATGCCCCTAGGGCACTCACTGTGTCTTTTGCATACAACAGGCACTTAATATCCTTGGCAGTGAAGTTACTGGCACCCCAAGGTTCCTTGGAGGTTTACATACCTGCCATGGCCTTCATATGGTGCATCCCCAATAGCGGGGAGGATCTTGTTTATTCGCTGGTTGGTGTGGGGACCCAGCCTGGCTTGTCTGCTGCTGAGTCCCCAGGGCCTCGCTGTGTCTCATACAAATGACTGGTCAGTTCGTGCACGTGACATGGGTGAGTAACATCAGCTGTCCCTCACACCCAGCACCTTCGAGGGAGAAGCCCACACTGTTATTTGAGGTTGTTCACCACCTCCACCTCTCTTCCGTCCTCTATTTTGTTTGTCCCCCGGTACACGAATGACTTCTGTATGCCCCACCACTAGCTCTGCACATGCTCTACCTCCATGGATTCGTGTTTGTTTTTTTAATATAAAGAGAATTTTGCTTTTACTGAGATGCTAAGATAAATCGGCATTTATATTTGTGTTATCACCTCAAAAACAAGTAGTTTCTTCTTTAGTGTTGAAAGTTTTGAGGAAATTTCTGATAGAGTTAATATTATTGGGAGCTGTTCCTCCTGTGACATGTTCCTGAGTGGGTGACACTGACCGATACTGGACCTGAGTTTTCTGTTGATGCCCACGCTTCTGGGCACCTTCTTGCTCCATAGTCAGGGACATGGCTAGGACTCTCCCATGCACAGTTAGCACAAATGGTCACGTTCTGCACGTTAGCCTTGTTGGAAAAGAAGTCACGGTAACTCGTGCTTCTTTCTCCTCATCAAACTTACTGCTGCCAAAGGGTTTACTGAACAGCAAAAGGATGGGAAGAAACAGCAAGGTCCACATCTGTGGGCTCACCACGCATGTGCGAGGGCTGAATCCTGTGGCTCCAGTGCCCACGGTTCTGGCTCGCCCAGGTTCCATGTCCTCCTGCTGGTGCCGTCCGGTCTGGTGGCCTGGTGTGGACAGGCACAGGGCCACTGGCACAAGCAGAGATGCCAGGTGCTTCTCTTGGGCCCAGCTGGGCGAGGCGCTGGCTCTTCTCAGCTGCTGTGGCTGCCTGCATCTCATGTCCCAGGGAAGGCCCCAAGCTGGTCCCAGAGAGGTCCCCCGCGTGCTGTCACTCCGAGAGGTGCACACACCCCAAGTGTATGTGATGAAGAAGCTGTCTTCTCTCACGTCAGTCTTAATCGCCCTCTGCTCAACAGAGGCTTGGCTGGGACAGCAAAAGCTAAAGTAGGCCCAGCACAGGCACAACTGTGTCACCTGGGATATGACCATATGGGAAACCAGAACATGTGACCCCTCTCTCCTTGGGCTCCAGTGGATGTCCCAGGCTAATCCTGTACAGCAGCTGCTCTCTTGTTCAAGGTCGCCCACCTTCACAGGGTACAAGGCCTGAGTGGAAACTGTACCAGCTCAGGGTCCACTGGAAGGTAGCCCAGTGTCCTTGCTAGGGTTTTCCCAGCCACTGACTATAGCCCAAGATGGCAAGGCAGCTGGGGCTCTCATGGAGTGTACAACCTCTGGCTCAGACTCCTGCCCCAAGCAGGCCAGGGTCCTACTCCTTCTCCTCACCTTGGCCCCTGTGACTTCCCACCCTAGCCCCCTTCCACCCTTGCCCCTCAGCCGCAGGGCTCCTCTGCTTGTCTTGAGCCAGTGCCACCACATGGCTGTGGAAATCAGTCAGCGTGGTCTCTCTCTGCTTCTTAGGGCAGAGGCAGGAGGTCAGGTTTTCCTTACATTGCTGGTTCAGTCTGTCCTTCTCTGTCAGTTGTCCTCCCACACTCTGCAGTGTTTCCTAACATCGAACTTGCTGTGTGGCTGAAGCCCTCACCCAGACCCCAGCCTTCCCAGGTGGGAGCACAGCTCTGAGGGTGGCACCATAGGAATTGATTTCTCCCTGCCCAGCACTGAGCACCTGCACCCTCCCATGGCTCTGCCAGTGCCAAGTGGATGGACCGGCAGACCAGGCTGGGTCCCCACACAAATGGGTGACCAGGGGACAAGCTTGCCAGGGCACTTGGGAAGTGACAGCACGGGGTAAGGTCCTTATGCCCTGGTTTGGGGGCCGCCGTCAGCTGAAGCCAACAGCTACAGAACTTGTGCAGCCATTGGCAGGAGAGACATGTGCCTGGGATGGAGTCACAGAAGGCTCCCGATCTTAGGGTCCCTTGGGCGGGGGAGGGAAGCTTCAGCAGGTTTGTGACCTGCATGAACATGGGATGATAGACTTTTGCTGGCCTCTCTCCTAAGATGTCACAGTGACAGGAACCTGGGCCACCACCTGCAGGAAGGCTAGCAGGGACCCGGGATGCAAGGGACACAGGGCAGTGACACAAAGCACTGGCAAGGAGGGCTCGAGCCAGTCTCTGCCGTCCTGGGTTAAGCAGTGTTAGTTAGGAGGAGGTGGGGGGGGGCGGTGGTTCTGAGGGGCTGCCGGCCAGGGGCTGGGATCCCCCTCAGTCTCCCTGCTTGAACCCCCACCAGCCCTGTCTTCAGCGGAGCCTGGCTTTGGTCACCAATAGCAAGCCCTGCGCTGTGGGGTGCAAATCTGATCAGCTTGGACCTGCAGGGGTGTGAGACGGTGTCCAAGACAGACCGAGGACGTGCGTGGCTTCCTTTCCTTTAACAGATAGAACCTCTGATCAGTGGGGTGCTGAGTGCACCCCAAAGCTCTCCTCCCAGTCACTGAGGGCTGTGGTCACTGAGGCATCGGCTACTTCGCTCTGGCTTTCTTCCCTTTCTGGGCCTTGCGGGACTTGACGGAGTCCTCCGGGCCCCGCTGGCCCGGGCCAGGGGGACGGGAAGGGTGGGGGGCACTGAGACTCAGCATCCGCCTCTGGAGCCTCAGGTCCAGGATGTCGAAAGCCGCCCGGACCTTGAGCTGCAGCTGCTCCCCCAGGCACTTGATCTGGATGCCAATGGCCTCGTGGACGAGATGCTCCAGTGCCTGCGGGGACACAGGCGGGAAGTAGGGCTCTGGGTCCTTCTCCATTCTCGAAGGCCCTGGTCCACTGGCCCTCTGGCTGCTGGTGGTGTTGCTGAGGGGAGGAGGACCAGGTCCCACCTCCTCTGCCAGCAGCCATGGCCACACTTCCTGTCCCTCATCCTCTCCCATAGTTGCGGCTCACGTTTCGGGCTCCACTCACTGCTCCTTACCGTTTTCCCTTCAGTCCTGGGGGCAGTCGTCCCTCTGTGCCGTCATTTGTTGCTAAGCTTGCTCGGCCCACAGACCAGTCTCATACATCCTATGTGCTCTACTGTCTGCTCTCTGCCAGCTGTTTGGACGCCTCCCCCATCCCCACATCCCCCGTCCTAGTGGTGGGCTTCATGGACGGGACGGGAAATGGCTTCAGAGAGCCACCGTGCCTGGGAAGCCCCACCTCCATGCGCCACGCTGGCGGGACCCTTCTGTCCCCTCCCTCGGGCTCCTGGGGTCCCAAGGTCCTGGAGACACGGATGGACCATGTGTGTGGCTGTTTCCCCAGCTCCCTGGCCGAGCAGCCGGGGAGGAGGGGGCTCCGACCAACTGTAAACTCAGCTTGGTGGCTGGGTAAACTGAGTCCTCTGCACCTCGCCTCCGCATCACTGCGGCAGAGACACGGATTCTTGCTGGCTGGACACTGTGACAAGGTCCGCCAAGGCCCGCGGGAGGCGCAGGCACGCGCTGGGGTGGGGCGCGTCTGTCCAGAGCCCGCGAGGCGGCGCAGGAGGAGGGGCTCACCTCTCTGCCCAGGCCCTCGGCCCCCCGGGCCCCAGCGCGCGCGAACGCCTTCTCCAGCAGCCGCGCCTCCTCCGCGCGCAGCGCCTCCTTCAGGAGCCGCACGCTGTCGCGCTTCTGCGTCGCCGCCGCCCGCAGCGCGGCCACCTGCTGCTCGTGGTGCCAGCCGTCCCTGTGCGTGCCCTGAGCCAGCGGCAGCGGCTGGGGCGGGGTGCACACCTCCAGGTGGGTGGCGGTCAGCTGGACGCCCCGGTCCCGGCCCAGGGCGTACTGGTAGAGCCTGTAGTGGCGCATGAAGGTGTTGTGGAAGTAGTCGCAGAGGGCCAGCAGGTGCCTGGTGCTGAACTGGCGCCGGTAGTCCCTGAGCTTGCTCCCCAGGATCGTCACTGCCTCGGTGATGGAGCAGCCTGCGGGCACAGAGGGCCGGTACAGTGTGACCCTCAGAGGCAGCCTGGCCGCAGCCTGAGACTCCGGTTCTGTATTAGTATCCATCAGCTCTTGAAAGCCTGGAGGGTTTCGCATTTCCCTCCTTCCCTTTGCTTCCAGGAAGCTCACAGCTTTGTTTATGGCATGATCGCCATAACACATCTATCCCATTTTTCTCTTCTATGATTATCCCACTCCTTATCTGAGTTTTGTCTTTTAACTCCTGTTTTAAAGGCTTACTTTGCCTGAGCTGTATGTTGTTTCTACTTCAAACTCCCAGGAGGGAGATGAGGGTATGAAAAGTAGGCCTGAGGGTGGAGCTGACTGGAGAAACGCCTAGGCATCAGCACCCTGGTGACTTGCGTGTTGACGCCATGCAAAGGGTCAGCTCTGGGGACACCAGGGCGGCAGAGAGCCACCCTGCCCTCTCCTGCCCATGCCTTTCAGGAGCTCGGCAAAGGCAGAGCAGGGCCACCGCGTTCTGGAGGGTGGTGGCTGGATGCTGGCCCATCCTGGTGACGCGTGCGGGGCGGAGGAGGAAGGGACACAGCGGTGTGGGAGCCCCACCCTCACACTGCCTCTGACGCTGCAGTGGCCACATCTCCCCCGCACCCCGGCTCAGGCCAGCTCTGCGGGTGGGAGCTGGGGCCTGGAGACCCCCAGCCTGTGCCCCCAGAGCCCCGCTTCGCCCCTCCTGCTCCATGCTCTCCTGTGAGCGCTCGCCACTGGGGTCTCTGTGCCCTACAGGCGGGGTGGCTCGCCTGGCCCTGCTCACACCCATCCCACCTGGTCCCCTTCTCTCCTCTGGGAGGGAATCCCACCCTCACTCTCCTGAGGGCAAAGCCATGACTGTCTTAGAAAAGTACTGGTGGAGCTGGCCCTGCCATAATGTCAGCACTCTGGGAGGCAGAGGCAGGAGGGTTTTCAAGTATGAGCTCAGCCTGGGCAACTTAGCCACGTATGGAGAGCCTGGCTCAAAATTTTAAAAAACAAATGTAAAAGGAGAGGTGGGGCTGTAGCTCAGTGCAGAGGCCCCAGGGTGCAGTTCCCACTGGCAGAAAAGAAGGAAGGAAGGAAAGAAAAGAGGAAGAAAGAGGGGAAAGAGAGGGAAGGAGGAAAGAAAGAAGGAAGGAAGGAATTAGGGAGGGAGGGAGGAGTAAAGTCTTTCTCCCGGCGGCCTCCTGAGAATGGCGGTAGGCTGCTTCTCCCAGCAAGGCCTAAAAGGAGCCTCTGACAGGCCGGTCCTGGATCCTGGGGCGGGACCCAGGGTCATGGGGCGATGGCTCCTTCGGAGCTGACCCACAGGGCAGAGGCGGGGGCGGTGCTCCGACTCAGGGCTGTGCTGAGTTGGGGGCCTGGGGCTCTGTGTGTTGCCGCCATACTGTGGCCTGCAGCAGGTTGGGGGATATGGGTGGAGCCCAAGAGGCCGGGTCGCCTTTGCCTCGGGAGGGAGGCTGGTCATTTGTCAGAGTCCCTGAGCCTATGACACTCGCCACTGCCATGCAGTAAGCTGGGTCCTGGCCGTGCTGTTCGAGGTGAGACGCTTGCCCTGCAGAGTGGAGTGACCCGGCATGGTGGGTGAGGTGGCACCCAAAAGTGGGCATGGGTGCCGAGCGGGAGCTGAACAGTGGAGCAGACCTGGCTGGAGGCTTCTCCACAGCAGGCACGGTTGACAGTTGCCCAGGGTGTCCGGGGATTAGTGCTGGGGACAGATGCACTCTGGGTAGCCGTCCAGAGGTCAGGGTGCCGCGCACCACTTCGCCGCTGCACATGTGAGTGACTGGGTAGGATGCCAAGTGCTCTGGGCCGCCCGACCCTCGAGTTGGGGCCCGCATTCTCAGCAGGGCAAAAGCTCTTAGCCACAAGGAGGGTCTGGTTTCCAAGGCTCAGCCCCACCCCCAGCTCCTGGGCTCAGCGATGTTTCTCCCTTCTGGTTTCCTTATTGTCACACAGATGTCCCGGCGGGTGGTGGGCAGGGATTTGTGCCCCCCAGGAGCCCCGATGGCGGCTCAGTCCTGCGATCTGGAACCACACAGCTCTTTCTAAGGGTACAGACCCCTCCGCTGCGCACCCTGGGCCCATCTCGAAGACCGCGCTGCTCAGCTGTGGTGGGCATCTTGCTTGGGCCTCTTTTGCTTTGGGGGAAGGGTGAGAGGCAGTGCGGGGCTCTGCAGGACTGGGATGGGGACAGGAGGGCTCCTGGCCTCCAGTTTGGACAGAGGCACTCAGGAAGGGCCCGCAGGCCACACGGAAGGGCTGGCCTGGACCACAGAGCCCTAGGACGGGCAAGGATGGGCTTCAGGTCTGCCTAGGACCCAGGATTGCACCCCAAGTTTCTCTGGGCAGGGTGTGCACAGAGTGACAGCCTTCCTGCAAGTGAAGAGCTGCAGCTGAGCTTCGGAGTCCTGCAGAGCTGAGGGACAGGGGCGAGGGGCGCCAGGGGGGCTTGACGGCTGCATGCAAGATGACAGGGGTAGCCAAGGATGGCCCGGGGGTGGGCACGAGGTCACCTTTGGTGATGGGAGGGACTGTGTGAACTCCTGCAGGTGACGCATCCAGAGTCGCTCCTCCTCCTTGGGGTGGGGTCAGCCGCTTCTCCACGTGGGTGGCTGATCTGCTTCCTCCCCCAGGGCCTCTCCCTGCAGCCCCTGGTGGCCATGCACAGAGCCCAGACTCCAGTCCGGAGGTCTGTGCTCACGGTGCTGTTCAAGCGTCCCCGGGGGCTGTGACACTGGGACCTGCCCTGCTGTGGGCACAGCTGCAACGGAGCCTAAGAGGTAACAAAACCCCAGTGTGGATCTCTTCCCAGAGCCCTGGCTGCGTTCCTACTTCCAGCCCCAAGATGCTGTTCCAGCCCGTTGGGGCTTCGGGTTTTGGCCCATCCAGAGCTGGCTCAGGGACTGTCTGTCTTGGCCTGAGACCCTGCTCCCTGCACCCCAGTGACTCAGAAAGCGCAGGGATTAAGTCTCCAGAGCAGACAGATCTGTGCCTGCAGTCACTCTTCAATAACAGGGAGCGGCCCTCATTTGCATTGGGTGCTGAGAACTTCCTGAAGACTTCCCCCAGGCCCTGGAGGCCCGCACCTGCAGGCTGAGTGGAGGAGGCCAGGAACGGGGGAGGGAGGGCAGGAGGTGGGCCTGTGTGGTGGGGCTGCAGGAGAGGGAGGGGAGACAGAGGGGCCACTCCTTCCTGGTGGGGGGTGGGGGGGGCAGACCAGGGGCCACCGTGCCCTGGCGTGGCTGTCCAGTTACCTGTTCTTGGCTCAGAGGGGGAGGAGCCATCAGGCAGAACACAGCTGGCTTCACCCTTCCCTGGGCGTTCAGGCTGCGGGAGGCTCACACCATCCCACCTCCCCAGCTCCGTCCCAGCCCCTTTCTGCTCTGGGGCAGGTGCTGCCAATGCCACTTCCGGGAGTGGCCCTGTGACAGCAGGAAATGGGCGCTGTCCTCTGGGTTAGGGGACTCCCTGAAACACCTGAATCACTCAGCCTCCCTGGGTGAAGCTGGTGGAAGCACCATCACCTCTACCCAAGGAGAAACTGAGGCTCGGCGAGGCTGAGGGACTTGCTCAGAGGCACACAGCCTTCAGTGGTGCCAGCTGTCCAGCTCCAGTGGCTTCAGGCCTTCTGTGCAGACCCCGAAGGTGGACGCCAGAAGGGACCCTTGCCCTCTCGGCCACATTTTTCACAAGATGCTCTGTGCTGGGCGTTGCATCAACGCAGGTCCCACAGCCAGAGACCTTAAAATACACTGGATCCAAGGAAATTCAGTGGAATCTCTAAAGAATGCTAATGAGCTCGGGCGGTGTCACTAGGGCTGAGCGAGTTCAGAGTTTCTGTGTGGGCCAAACAGTCCCTCTGGGCCCATAAGCACGCTTGGGAAATACCGAGCCAGCCTAGTCCTTCTGTTCTGCGGCCCAGGGCTCAGGACCTGGCAGCAGCGCCCTCCCTGGCATCCTTGGTTGGTCAGAAGCGCCTCAGAGTGTCTGGGCAGGGAAGGGACTGAGGGGCAGGCAGGAGACCCGGCAGTGGGGCTGCCCTGCCCTGGGTCAGGAGGTGTGGAGTCCTGCCTGTCCCCCGGACTCTATGCTGCTGGCCTCCCTGCCTCCCAGGCAAAGCTGCTGCTGAGCTGTGCAGAGGGGACAGTTTGGTCCCTTCCTCCTGGCACCCCTGCAGAAGGGGCCAGTACCACAGTCCTGATGTGCCCAGGGAGCCTCCACGCTGATGGACTGGGGCAGGGCAGGTGCAGGGCAGGGTGGCATGCTGGGGGCTCATGCTGGCCTCGGTCACCATCACGTGTGCCAGGCACTTTGCTCTCTGGGCGCTGGTGGGGTTCTGTTCCCTGGTGGCCTGGCTTAGATGAGAGCGAATGCATGCAGCGCTCCCCACAGGCCTAGTCCATAGCGAGGACTCATCAAGTGCTGCGCTCACTGCCGTGCCCTCCTCCAGCAGCCCCGGGTATGTGCTGATGTGGAAGCCCCAGCTCCCCGAGGGCAAGGCGCCACCCTGGAGCTCCGAGCCCCGGCCCTGAGTGGCCTCTAGGTGGTCTGGGTTTGGGGGTCACCCATGGCTCTGTTGATGGCCAGGTGTAGAGGGCTCCAAGGTGCCAGCTGAGGGGAAGGGAAGCAGAGTCGGCGGCTCCCTTCACAGGGCAGGCACTCAGAGAGGAAGTGGTGCATCCTGGTAACCTGCCCTGCAGGGTCTCCTAGGGAACTCGAGTGGGCAGGATAGGGCCTCTCCGGCAGCACGAGCTGCTCATCCCGAGCCTGTCTTCTCCTGAGGAGAGAGAGACAAGGCCCCTGCAGAGGATAGCTGTGTCTCAGAGCCCGAGAGAGGGTCCTCAGGCTGTGTTCTTGGGTGGGGACGTGGGTCTGGTGGCCCTGGGGTCCCTGTAAGCTGAGGCTGCAGTGATTGCCACGGAGTTGACAGTCCCCCACCAGAGCCACAGCCAGCGGCCACAGGCTCCTTGGGCCAAGTCCTGCT